TATATACATACATACATACACACACACATACATGTTTTATTTCTTTTATTTGCAAGGTTGAACTTGGCTGCATTTCTCACTTCTTCAGCTTTTGTGGGACAGCAACTGCATACAGCCAAGAGCCAGATCTTATCTATCATAGTGAGAGTCATAATGAGACTAATTAATTTCCCGTTTAATGCCAGGAGAGAAGCAATAAGCAAGGGATCATTTGCTGTGTCCTACAAAAGCCCTCCAGAGAAAACAGCACTGCACAGACACTATTGCCACTCACTTCATTAGCGCAGGATTCGGTACTAATGAAGTCTCTGCAGGCAGTTGTGCCCTTTCAGATGTAGCTAGCTATGCATATGAATTCTGTACACTGTGGACGGAGCTAATGTGGTCATACTGCAAATAAAAGCGAATACATGACAACCCTGTTAACAACACAGAAACCCTTTTCACTGCCTACGCAACATGACCTGAATGAGTCCACAGTCTAAAGTGCAAAAGTAGACAGCAGAACTAAATAATGTGCTCATGTGACACGCTGCTCAGAGTTGTGTTACCCGTCCCCAGCTCTTCCCTAAGTACAGCTATGCGTTCACTCGGACCACGTGTCAATGCCACTCAGACGTTATCTACCGCCGGAAATAATGAGTGCACGTCCGCGTCAGAACATCCCATTTCATCAACAAGTCACGAGCAAAACTGCCAGTCCATTGCTTTCGATCTCAACGAACACTTACGTACAACCACAAGTAATAGGCAAAACAAAACAAGAGAAAATAACAGCCCCCACCCTCACATCTCGTGTTACATAGTTGCCCTAGATTCTCATTACTCGCCACAAACTGAACATATATTTGTAACCTTCAACTGTAACCTTTAGCATTACTCTGTTGTTATAGGCGACTATCGCGCGTTCGACGTTCGATTCGAATGTTGTTTTTATTAGGGTGTTGCGATTTTAAAAGCACTTTCGCGACAAATGACGTTTGAATTGTATTTTTATTTAGAATACATTTTATGACTGCATATCTGTCGTGCGTTCTGAAACTTCCGCAGATAATGTCACAAGAATGCTGGCCAGTCTTTAGAACGAGGATCTTCAGTTAGCGTCAAGCTAATGCGTGGCTTTAAAGCAAAGCTTCGGCACAGCTAACGATATAAAACAGCGAAGAAAAAGTCCTTGGATATATATTTTTTTGTTTTTTAGCATTCCTTCAGGAAAAAGTGCACTACGACTGGAATGTGGTTGGTTTAGGTCTCGTGTCAGCTCGACGGCGAACGCATGCATTTTACTCAACTTAAGTTAGCTAGCAAGATCACATGGTCTAAAATATTAATACATTTATTCTGGAAATAAAACAGACGGGTGTATATTTCAATACGAAATATGAATTAAAAAAAATATTCGTTTAAAAAACGTAAACACCTAAATTAGGCAGGTCAATGGCTTGTTATTGGCTAGATTTTTTTTCACGAGACACGTTTTATACTTGTCATCTGATTAAAAACGCGCTGACATATAAGATTTCCCTTCAAATTAACAGTATTATAAATAACACCGAAAAGCTTTCACTTACATTCGTGCATTCTACTGTCGCGTCCGACGACAAAAGCTCCAGTGCTTTCATGCGGTAGTCTTTCGCTCGCGCTGTGTCAAAAGATCAGCAGCTGCTTCCTCCATCCACGCAGCGCGGAGATCACGCCGCACGGCAACGCTTCCGTACCCCCCCTACCGTCGCCAAGGCAACAGGGCAACTTCAGCCAATCACACCCTCTCCTCGCCGATATCCCCCTGACAACTGCCGCATCGCGGTAGCACTTTTTTTTTTAGCAAACCTAAGCAATTGCGTTCAGCATGCGCTCCGCGTTGCACCATGTTATTCATTCGCTCGTGAGAGGTTCGTGACAAAAAATTCGGTGTTATTTCAAACGCTATCGCTTAAAGGAGAGCCTAAAACAGTCGGTGTAGATTTAGATATTTTGACGTCATATTCCCATTGAGAATTTGCTTCATATTTTAATGGCTTTACCTTTACTATCTTAGCCGGCGTTTGAATGACCACCAAGCAGCTGGAAACGAGGTCAGATGCTGTTGCGTCATTAGCGGGGGAGTCCTGGAGGCTCGTCGTCCAATCGCAGGCTCTTTCGCGATGTGAAGTAGAGGTACTTAAAACTTACAAACTTATATAAGTATTGTGCTCCAATGAGATTTTAAACTGACTGGAAAGGCAAGGAGTATGACCAAAAGTGTATTATTGTACTTTTTAATATTGTCTTGTTCCATCTATTAATTATTTAACCCTTTCATGCTGAAATATTTAACCCTTTAGTGCTTCACTTCTGTTCTAAATACAGCCATTCATAATAATCAGTCAATAACATCAAAATACGTTTGTGATGTTTTAATAGTTATTTCTAATGTTTGTAATGGTTCTGACAGGCAAACAGTTTTTAATACCAAATCAAATCTGGCTACATTTTGGTAAAATCACATCTAGCAGTTTTGCAGCAGCAAATAAGTAATTATCATTGCTTCAGGCCAAAATACCAGTCCATAATCAATAACGCTTTCTCCAGTGAAAAAGTCAATTGCCTGTTGTCTTCTCATATTAGAATCCACCAATTTGTTTAGAGCTGTTTTCGCTTTTAAGATGTGCTTGATCTGTGCATATTTCTCTCCTGATTCAGAGGAGATGACCTTTTCACTGGAGAAAGCAACATTATTGATAGAACTGAATAAGAAAAAATGCCTCACTGATGGATTTATTACAAACACAGAATTTTGCTTCTCAAGACATTAACTGATGGACAGGAGTCGTGCGGATTACAAAGAATCAAATTTCTCCAAATCTGTTCCGATGAAGAAACAAACTCATCAACATCTTGGATGGCCTGAGGGCAGGTAAAAAAAATCGGGGTAAACTATTCTCCTTTATTGTGTTTGCATGTGCAAATGTGTCACTTTTTCACCCGAAAGTTGTGTGCCATGTTTTTCCACATTATAATTACAACTCTGTTTTTGAAAAGTAAGGCTTTTAAAGGGGTCATATGATGTATTTTTAAAGATCATTATTTTGTGTATTTGGTGTAACAGAATATGTTGACATGCTTTAATGTTCAAAAAACACATTATTTTTCAAATACTGTACATTATTGTAGGTCCTCTATGCCCCGCCTCTCTCAAACGCTTCATTTTCTACAAAGTCGAAGCGCCAGATATTCATAGCAAAGTCAGAATTACCTCTTCTCCTAGGTTCACGAAACGGTCGTCCATAAAATGCATTGCTGTTCTGTTGTAAGTAATCTTAAAGATTCCTAAATGCATCTACTTTCGGAAGGCCAAATAAAGTGCTTTTGCTTTCGCCTAGAAACACACAGCGTCTCCCTGACATGGCTGCATCAACACTAACTACGGTTACTGAAACCACGCCTTCTTTCTTTGCGTGAACATTTGGGCGGCATTACGCAAATATTTCCACATAGTGAGGTAGATATGTGGGGGCGTGTTAGAACGAGCCGTTTTAGGGGGGCGTGGCAGAGTCTTAACTTTGATAAAGAATATCTCTTTGGTTTTGAGACTTTAGTCTTTGCAACTTCAGGGATCTTATCTATGCACAATCAGCTTGTAACACTCCAAAGAGAAAGGAAAACTTGAAATCGCATCATATAACCCCTTTAAGGAATGCTTTTTGTCCTGTAATGCATCCAATGCAGTGAATGTGCTGTTACTTTTTTGCAACATGTTAATCCCAGATAAGGACGTAACCAAACATTCTGTAAAAGTAACCAAACAGACTCTAAAAGTTGATCCATTGAAAACCCCAATCTGATATGTACCAAGTATCTGTGGCTGAGGTTATGGCTTTGATCCCAGATTGCTAAAATTTGGAATTTATTTGTATCTGATTTCAAGCATATCACATTGTTTTTAAGATGTTGATGTAGGTCATTTCATTTATATTTTAGGTGCAATCTACTTGTTTTAAACAAGTAGTCTGTCTTAAAATAGGTCATCCAGTTTAATATACAGTCCACTCATTTCCCTAGATAAGCAGTTCAAGGCTGTTAGTATGTGTAAACACTACACACTTCCACTTAATTTGGCCTTAAATGTCTGAACTACCTAACAGTCATGTGTTTGAAATGCTTTTCATTACAGTTTTTAGCTTCTCTGATTAATTTAATCAACTTTTTTATGTGCATGGATAGTATTAGACAGAAAGCAGTTAATTTGTTAACACAAACCTTTAGATTTCAATGACCCAAACTGAAGTGTGGAATATGAGCTATACTAGTACTCTCTTAAAACAGTATCCTTGCATGTAATAGCTTTTTTGATGAGTACGATCTCAAAGCAAGAGAGTTTGTTTCACTGAAGCCTATAATTTAAAAACAAATCTAATAGATTTAGGCCACAGACATCCTTTGAACATAGATTATTGTCCTTTTGAAGAGTAATGGATGATGAATTATCTATAAAACAAAAACTTGCAGAATAAAGTATGAAAATACAAATACTGTCAACATACCACAAAATATGTGAAAATCAATACGGTTTAGCAGATTTCTGACTCTGAAAGGCTTATTTAGGTTGTTTGCCTATAGATGGCGCATTTTTACCCAGGAATTGTGGAAAGTGAAGGGTTTATGAATTCAGTCAATAACGACTTATTCTTATCAGACTAGATAAAGCACACTGCTGTAAAAGTCTCTTACAGCACAAGGCGCCGCTTTGAAGACCTTGCTTACGTTATTTGCACAAGTCGAGTATCTCTATTAGGTTATTACAGGAAGGCGATACCTGCAATCAGGGTGGTTTTGTCTTATAATAACTGTAATCAAGTCATGTTTAACAAGCTCTTGAAGGCAGTATACTATCCTGTTCAACCATAGTGACAGATGTTGGGGGTTTTCATGGCTTTATGGATAAGTAGTGCAACCTATAAAGCAAGTTATTAAAACGGCAAACTACATCAAACATATTGAATCAACAAAATCAAGCACAACCAGTGTTGATCTAATAAAGTTTATTTTCTTAAAAATGACCAGTTTCTGTTCTTTTCTAGGAAATTAAACCCTTTTTAAATTCATACTAGCATCTACATAATGGTTATTAAAGACTTCACAATATATTAAGTCTAGATGTTATGGTACACATGCATAAAATTCAGGCTGCATGAGAAGCCACAGTCACCACATTACACATAAATGGAGTTTGAGGGGCAAAAAGACAATGGGGCTGTAGAGATACTTGTCTCAGCTTGAAAGAGGCCAGAGGCCTCCAATATAAACCAACTCCAGCAAGGCTTTTCAAAATCGCTATCGTACTTAAAACAGGCACAAGTCAGGCCATGGGCCCAAAAGAATGCAATAAAAATGCTTCTAAAGTCAGGATACATTTTCAGGATGCTTTGACCGCATGGACAAAAAATTATCTGAATGAAAATGCTCTGGGATTATTTTTAATAGAAACCATTTCTTTACATTCGGTGTAAGATTAACGGTCAAACATGTTTCAGAATTCTTGGGCCCTTGGTTAACACTTCTAACCGCTTGGAGATTAAAGCTCCAAATATTTAGAAAGGGAACTTGAGAATGAGAAAGATAAATACAATAGGCAAAAATAATCCTTTTTCTAATTATGGCAGCAACAAATGTGATGCAAACATATCGTAACCTGCACAACCATAAGTTCCACACATCAATCTCTCACATAAAAGAAGTTAACTTAAAAGAAATCACCTCATTAAAAAGAAAGAAAAAAAAATGCTGGAGGACAATTTAGTGTTAGTTTTCTGATCTTTTCTTTGTTATTCCTCTTTCACAGAAAGAACTTATATGCTGAGACATGAGTATGATTACAGCAAGCCTAATGTGTGCTAACAAAAATATTAATAACAATAATAATAATAATATATAATAAAATAAGAGACATTCAAATACAGTAAGTTTTTTTGCCTGAAAATACAAAACTACATGAGAAAGCATTAAAATCATATTTGTAGATCAGAAACACATATTAACATATTAAAAAAAAAAAAAGCAAGTGCTAATCACATTGTTTTTTTGTTTTTTTTAGTTTTGTTTGTTTGTTTTTTTGGTTAATTTTTATATCATACATTTCAGCACATCTGCTGTCAAAAAAACAGTCGCCGGGGAAGCCATAATGGTATGGCTCTGCCTCTAATCCGAGAAAACCGCGCAGTCTGTAGTTCCTAGTGGCTCGGGTCACGGTCAGATCTGTACAAAAACTGCAGCAGAACCCGTCTTGAATCTCCACATAGCGCTGAAGTTGCACAGGGCAGGGCGCACAGCGTTGGGCTTTGCGATTGGAAGGACCAAACAAAGTCTACTCCCCTCCCAAACTCAACACCACTGTGGCACCCACCTCCAGAATCCTGAGTCAACATATTGCTTCACAATATTTCACTCTTCCAAATCATCCATCACGCTCCCAACCAGAACTGAAGAGAACTCCTTGCGTCAAAACATCTTCTCAGTTAGCAATATACAAGAGAGTCTGCACCCAACACTGAGGCAGCTTTACACGGCTTTGGAGTTCTGCATTTCACCTTTCCAAAGATAGTTTCTCTTAAAATGATTAATTCAAAGTCTGACAGTTTTAGTTATCCACACACACTTTGCACACCAGGTCTCTCTGGTCCAGAAATGGCAGGCGCTCTGGATTTGTAGGCAGGTACGATAAAGGCCAGGGTGCTGTGATGGAGGTTGAGCTCGATCTC